TTGAGTCTTCCTTCCAACATCACCATACACCCTACCTTCCATGTTTCCCTTCTTAAACCATGATACAAGGTGCCTGACAACATAACTCACCCTCCAGTCATGGACATTACCAGCCCTTACTGCCCTACTCCTAAATCCATACTCGACAGAAGGATGATCAAAAAGGGGAACAAAGCCATAGTCCAAGTTCTTGTGCAATGGGAGCAGATGCCTGAGGATCAAACCACTTGGGAGGATTATCATGTCTTGAAGACGAGGTTTCCAGCTTTTCTTCCTTGAGGACAAGGAAGATTTCAAGAGGGGAGAAATGATGCGTATAGAAGGATGATGGTACCAGCTGCTTGTGGAAGTGTACCTAGCCGTTGGAGTTAGTTGGAGAAATCTAGTTTAGGTCATTGACACTTAAGTCCTAGTGTTTTTATTTTATAAGTTTCTAGTATTACAATCAAGTCCCTAGACATTTAGCTGTGAAGCAGATTCCATCCTCTGCAAATACGGTTATTTGCAGGACAGCTGGGCAGAGGAGCTTGTACTATTCCTTGCTCAACACTCTTATCCTTTTACAGCTTTCATCACCTATATCTATTGTAATAGCTGATAGGATTTATATGAATGAAATCCTTAGAGCTTAATTTAGCTTAGCATAGTTTTCTTCCTTTTTTGCACTGTTCCATTGCTGCTGCACCAAAATATAAGATTTCTGGCAAATTCTTAGATTTTGTCAAAGACAAATTTGAGATTGGATTTTCGAAATTTTGGAATTCTTCCGGTGGTTTAGTTCTTTGTGGCTATGATAGGAAGTACTATGTGTGTAACCCAACTATAAAGCAATCCACTACTCTTCCCAGCTCAAATATGGTTCCATATGACATGAGTTTGGCTTTTGACCATTCAATATCACCTCATTACAAAGTTATTAGCGTTGGCATGTATCTCCATATTGAAATATACTCTTCAGAGCCAAATTCCTGGAATCAATCGGGAGTTCTGTTTCCGAAACCATTTAAAAAACATATTCATTATGCTGGTGGAGTTTTCTTCAATGGAGCAATTTTTTGGACATTCAGTCGATTAGATAGCTTTTGCTATTTTGATATTGAAAGGGAAATTATCCACACTTATCCAATGCCAAAAATGAAAAGAGAATACTACTGTGGATGTATACATGATCATTTGTATCTGCTTGGCACTTCATTAGGTGAGTGGCATCAACTTGACATCTTTGAATTGGGAAAGGACTACTCCTTTTGGAGCCTAAAGTATCGCATTGATCTATGTGAAAATTTTTTCTGTTGTCGATATTACTATGCTCTTTGTTATGGCAAGAGAAGAGAATCAGGAACCGTATTTGGGCATCTACCTACCACCTCGTCAAGTTAAATTAATCAGCTTAAAAGATAGTACTTGCAGCAAGCTACGCCTGTTGCCATTACATGCTGTTGAGAAGATTCCATCATGGAGATTTATAAGGAAAGTTCATCATCTGATTGAGTATCCATTCTTGGTAGGAAGAAACTGATTCACCAGAAGTTATATAGGAAATGTGTCTGACATTTTTGTTGTTCTATCTTGTTCAAAATCAGTCAGAGTTTAGCACTTCAGGGTTTACAATCTTTGTTTTAAGTCTTCTCTCCCTTTTTTTTTCTTCTACTGAAGGCTGCAATAGTAACTTTGTGTCAAGTTAATTCCATTAGATGGCTGTCACCTTTTTATATTCGTAAAGGTATCCATAGAATAGAAATAGCTTCTCTGCAATTTTCAATCGGTGCTAATATGAAATTGTAATTTGCAATTGTGCCCCAAGGAATGAAATCAATCTTTGTTTTCAGCATTTTTCATAGATTATGCCCGATTCCCCGACCCATTACTCATTCCTTCCCGACTCGATAGGGATTGCAATCTCGAGAGAGGGAGCAACAATTGACCTCCTACAATAGGTATGTCTCTCAGAATTCGATGAGGGCAGTCGAAGCAATTGCTCCTGAAATCTGCCAAACACCAATAAGCTCTGACAAGAGGTAAAAGCACTATCAGGAGAAAGAAAATTGTGAGCGTTATCCAAAAACAAAATCTGTGACATTTTTGCCTTCAAGTGTATTATACAAAATTTGAAATACTTGCAGTATTAACAACATTCAAATACCTCATATTTTTTGAATGAGGTGTTCGAGTTGTATTTATAGATACCAGGCTTTGTGTGCTCGTCAGTCTTGCCAATAACATCATTGGGAAAATATCTGCGAATGAGTGTAGTTGCCCTTTTTATTGGTCTCTGTGATACAAAGTTCAGAAACCACTTGAGTTTCCTATAATTAGGCCAGTTGTGAGGGCAATAAAATACATGGCTGCTCATAATATTATACCTTCAACTCGGATGGGGAAGCGATGATTGTGCAGCAACAAACCATAAGGGGGAACTGAGAGCCGTGAAGTCCAGACTTTTGCAACAGTGACTAAGTTGTCATCTACCTATTTGGTTAAGGGTTTTCAAGCCATGGCAAGCACGAATTTATTGAGACAAGCTATATGTAATTGGTAACTTTGCTGCCTCATAGCATAATTTTCGGCTTCACAAGTCTGTGTGGATGCTTGTTCTTATTATATGTTAATGATGATATTGTGATGGTAAGCCACATTTACTGCAATTTAGATATTGAATAGGACACTTGGATGATGCATTTCGCAGCCAAGACTAATGACATCTCAAAACATTCTCTTGTCCTTGAAGTAGCAACTCATTAGTTTAGATTACACCAGTATTTTGGAAAGCGTTATGCGCAAAAAAGCGACGAGACCTCGCTTCACAGAAGCGAGAAGCGCGAAGCGAAGCGCGCGCTTTTTTGCTGTGAAGCGCAATTCAACATATAAATAAAAAATAAAAAAAAATAGGCATAGATAAATGGCTAAGAACTCATTAAAAATAACATATTAAGCAAATGTTTCAATTCTTGAATCAAGAAGCAAATAATAGATACTAAAAAAAAAAACAATTAGGGCAGAAAACAGTGCACTTCACTAATAAATTGCAGAAAACAGAGCATAAAGCAGCATAAAACAGAACACTTTTAATAACAGAAGAAGAAGTCGTTTAGGGCAAAAAATGAGCGCTTAAAAAGTGAAAACAATTAAAAAAATAACAGAAGAAGAAGAACAATAACAGAAGAAGAAGACCAGAAGAAGAATAACAGAAGAAGAAGACCAGAAAAAGAAGAACAGAAGAAGAATAACAGAAGAAGAAGACCAGAAGAAGAAGAAGAACAGAAGAAGAAGAAGAAGTAGTAGTAGTTGAAGAAACTTACCGAGATCTGGAGAAGAAGTCGTTGGAGCAGCAGCGGTTGTCGATGGAGTTCGCTGGAGAAGAAGTCCTTGCGTATGTTTTGTTAACAGATGGGTTATTTGCCAAATTTTTTTTAAAAAGCCCTAGTTGATGCCTTCTGCTCGCTTAAGCGAGCTTTTTCTCGCTTTTTCTACTGGCTCGCTTCTTGCTTAAGCGAGAAAAGCGCACACTTTTTGAGTGTGAGTCGCCTTTTTAGCAGAAAAGCGCTAACCCTGCGCCTCGCCTCACTTCGCTTAAAGCGAGAAGCGAGCGCTTTTAATAACACTGGATTACACTTTTCTAGTGCAAGTGTATTGTTGGATATTTTTATTGTTGAAACAGGACTGCTAATGCAAGGCCTGCAGCCACGCCAATTCAACAAAAGCATTGAATCTCACCCTTGTTGACCTCGAGCGAAGATGACCAGCCAAGGCTGCTTCTCTTTCATGACCTCATATTAGTTCAATGAAAAAGTGGTATGGAGAGAGAGAGAGAGTGTGTGTGTTCATATACTACTCAAAAGATATTTTGGTGGTTAATTTTTTTCCTGGCTTCATTCTCTTTGGATTTTTTGGTATTCGAGAGTTCTGATCGATATTGAGCTCTGCCCTTTAGACTTCATTTTGCTACTGCAGTGGCCACACATGCTATACTCAGGATTGCATATAAATGGTTTGTAGCCCAATTTGTTTTCACTGGAACTCTTGCAAAATGAAGCAAGACCAGAGAAGACATTGGTTACAACTTCGTGGAAAAAAAGGAGACGACTGAAATTCATGCGCAGCCAGAAAAGTTCTTACGTCACTGAGAATATGAGCGAGTAACTTTGCCTTTGTAGCGTTAAGAGGTTCTATGGTACTGCACTGTCCAACTGTAAGTACGAGTTTTTTCAGTCTACAACTTTGGTTTTCTTGTTTATTTACAAGTCTTTTCTTTTTCTCATCGCTTTAGATTCAGATCTTTTTCATACTCCTTTTTTCAACTGTTACTTGACTACAAATCTTATGGTAAACACTTAATTTATATTGGTATTGACTTAGTCATCACGCTTGATTTATTAGCTGCTGTTTTTGAAACTTGAGGCTTGAATGCTACTGTATTATCATAAAACTACATGCTTCCTGTCTCTTGAGTTCTAAATTGTTCAATTATATCATAACATGTTTGCTTTCTTCTGTGTAATATCTTCCAGCTTCCACTGCATAGAATCACTTATTAGGAACCCAGACAAAATGGAACTCACTTTTTTCATATTAAAGAACAGAGGAACAAGAAATTGACAGATGAGTTCTCTTCCATGTTACCATAGTATTCATACTTAATTTACACAGTTACCTATAAAAGAATTTCACCTATTCATGTTCACAAAGTAACCATTCATCTTCTGTTTCCATACTGCAATAATCCAAACTACCTATATAACTAATGATATCTGCTTCCTATTCCTGGTCTTTTGCTTAATTAAGTACCAACAGACTTAATTAATGACTTGATTCAAGGAGCTTGCCTACTGAGTGGGCATCCAAGCTAAGTCCCAATAATTCCTCCATTGTGATTTGTGAAGCACTCATCGCTGCTTATAACTGAGGATGGCTCAGCATAATAATCTGATGATAATAACATACCAGTAAAAGTAATAGGTGCCCTCTCTTCAATGTTCTGCACTTGCTCTGTTGACCACTGATCAGACAGCATTAATGTTTTCTTCATTAACCATAGCAGTACTACTTCCTTGAGCCATTGGACTCATGATAATGTGATCGTGTCCTGATTCATCCGGCAACTGGGGTTCTGCAGTATCTGATTTTTCTGCTAGAAAACTACCGAGGTACTCGTACACTTTCCTATCCACATGATCAATATTTTTCATTACGTCAGCCAATGTTGATGGAACAGTATCCCTATGATCACATTCAATATTATTATGGTCATGTTGCAACTGAAAGTCATTATTATCAGGTGAGTATGTGAATTGATTTGAAGTTGTCCCTTCCTCTGAAGAACGTCCAACATATTCGACATGACTTTGAGCTGAAGGTGCCTTCTCTTCAATATTCTGCGCTTGTACATTCACTAATTGTTCAATATTTTGGTCTTGTTGCAACTGAAACACATTATTATATTCGAATGATGTGAATCGATTTGAAGGACACAAATCATGAAAACCTGTCCCTTGATATGAAGAACTTGAATCATGAAAATCTGTCCCTGAAGAACTTGTAACATAGTCAAGCTCATGTTCTTGAGTTGTCGAAAGCATGGCATCCATAACAGCAACAACAGTGTTTCCACTAGCTATTTCCATATGATCTCCTAATTCCTTATGATCATTAGCATGAACAAATTTACGCTTAATGCAGCATAAAACATAGTCCTCATGCTGAATTATATTTCTTTCTCTTAACACCTTTAGTATGTTGTCATTAAGACTATACTCTTTCATATTCCAAACAATATTTTTACTTCCTTGATCGCCACTTTTCTCCGTGCAGCTATCTTTTTCTTGATATCGAAAACTTTTCTTCAACCCAACCAACTTTGACCCTTTAAAAACTGGTTTGCTTTTGTCAAGTCCTTTCCAACAGCCTTCTCCAATCAGCCCTCGACTGAACCTTAAACCACCTTGTTTTCTTCTCTTCAACTTAGTAAAGAAATAGTTTACCTTTGTATCCTCTCCTAGAAAATTGTTTTGGAAAATCTCCCATGGCTTCTTATTCCCGTAAAGATCCTCAACTCGAATATGATCACATGAGAAAGACTTGCAAGAAACGAATTTGAGTAGATAGCGAATAAGCTCTTCATCAGTGGGTCGAAACCTGATTCCCAGTACTGGATATGGAGCATAATTATGGCTTGTTTTACTGCTGATAGTCATTTTTTTTGTTTCCAGTGGAAGAAATTAGCCTGAAAATAGAAAGGAAGTACGTTCACTGAAAACTAAGAACACTCTTCAAGAATGGTAAGGTGAAGTGAATAACAACAAAGGAGCTGCTGAGGGTTAAATGTAGGAAAAATATTGCATATTTGATGCTACTTATATACGTAGGGTTGGGCTATAGGCGGGAAGAACCTGAAAGCCAAATTTACCATGAATTAGGAAATTTTCAATTCCACAGTTCTAGATATTTGTAATAAACACCCTATAATGTCGCTTATTTTTAAAAAATTGTAACCTTCCTGTTATGAACAATAAAAGAAGAGGAAGAATATTGCAGAGAAAAGTAGGAAGAGAATTCTTATTAATTTGGGATGAATTACAATGGAATAAAACCCTCTATTTATAGGGAGATGGTGACTTAGCCACCAAGCAATGAACCCTAGAATCTCTCTAAATATAGACATTCACCATAAATACAATTCTATTTATAACACTCCCCCTTGAATGTCTATTCAACAAATAATGTGCCTCGTTAAAACCTTAACTAAAATAAAACCCAGTGGGAAAAAAATTCTAGAGAAGGAAAAAGAGTACACATATCTAATAATACGCCTTTTGGTTGCCTCGTTAAAAACCTTGCAAGGAAAACCCAGTGGGACAAAACCTTGTAAGGGAAAAAGAGTACAACACGTATTAACTGCCCCTGATGAGAGCATCAATTTACATCCTTAAGCATTTGCATTCCAATCTTGTGCACCATCTTCAAAAGATCTTTGGTAGAGATTTGATAAAGAAATCAGCCATATTAACTTGAATGAATATGTTGCACCTTGAAATCATCATTCTTGATAGAGATGAATTGTCTTCATATGATCTTGTTGGAATCGTCAGTTCAATATCTTCACATAGAGGTAAAAACTCTTGCTATCATATTATCATGCCTATAGTTATAGCAAGATACATTTGTGCACAAATTGCACTAAGGAAGTGGTACTTCAAGATCAAGAATTCTATATGCTTTAAGCAATTTAAATCCTTCAGGGACTGTTATATAAGTTAAGTCATATAAGCCATATAATAGACTTTAGATGCATATCAAGTTTTCATGTCATGCTAGACATATAAGATACCGAAAACTGATTGCACATATCATTGACTTTATACTTTCAAGTGTTTGAACTACATGTCCAAAACTACATGTCTTCATATGAAACCAAATTCTACTTGAATTGTTTCTTCAGACTTAAGATCCTCATATATATTTAGCGCTATTATCGATGTCATCGACAAACATTTTATATCGGTTCCAACCTCCTTATTTTTCATAAAGACATAACATAGAGATCTCTTCATTCATATATTCAGGTACCTGAATCTCTCCTGAGATTTTATGAAGTGTTATGTCATGTGATCTTCTAGATCACTTGCTTCCTTTATTATGATCATTTTGATCATTTGCTCATCTTCTTTATCAAGAAGTTTATTTGAAATCGATTTGTCTATACGCTGTAAGCGTACCATTTGTCCTCCTAGGACTTATTCCAATATGAGCATTTGCAGTGAGATATAGTTACTTTCTTTGGGCCAGCAAATGTGTCTGACATGCTTTGCAATATATTGCACATGAATTATCCTTTTATGAACTTCAAGTTCATATTATTTTATTCGAGAATCTAGATGTACACATGATAATTCATTCCACGTAACTTTTTCTCAACTGTTTATCATGTCTCCCCCTCATGTTAGAAAAACTAACTTGTTTCCTCAACTTTGAAAACCCATCTTTGTGCGTTATGGTGTTAATCATAATATACACCGCACATCAATAATAATAAGATGGAATTATTTGGTTCCTGACCCTGAACCACTTGTGAGGGGAGAAAATAATATACTTTCGTATATAACGTATATCAAACTGATATATATAACTTTGTTCTCATAAGCAATAGTTTAGCTATTAAGTGGAAGCATTCAATAAATCATTTTGCTAAACCAACTGTGATGTAAACCAACTTATCAAGATGAACTATCTTGAATAAAAAATATGGAAATTATGCTCTAAATCAAATTATTGAGCAAGTTACCTCGCAAACACCATGTTGCGGGTTAATAATAATCACACATGTAACCATCTCATAGATGCATCTTATGTGGTATACATGGCAGATGAATGAGCCTATATTCACCTTTGATATTTCCAGCATTCATGGGATTCGATCCCAATTTTAGTTGATCTATTAATTAATGAGAACAAGCAATATAAGAGAATTCGTAAAGAACTTTCTAGCTCTTTAATATTTACCCATGTGAATTCTCTATTATTTTTGCACATCATACTTAAATTGATATGGCTAAACCAATTATGTCAACTGAATAAATTATCAATATTGATAAACTTCAGATTTACGCCATGACGTGTGCAATTATCAATAAACTCCAAGTTTATTATGATATGGGTTTTTATATCAATAAATACCCACTTCATTGTGGTATTCTTTTGTTTATGTAGTACAAATTGGAGAATAAAGTGGGTAACTTTTTACATATATATTACCCCGCTACAAGTTGTAGTAATAGAAGATATTAAATCTTTCCTTTATTTATAGTCTCAATTTAATCAACCGCTTTTGCGTATACTTTGGAAACTGAATAAGTTTCTTTGAGACTTACTACAACACAATACCTTATTGGTAATTAATTGTGTTTCTCCAAAATAGTATAATTGGCTCTTGCAGAGTTCTCAATTAATTTTGTAATACCACATATTCATCAACACCCGTATGGTGAATATCTCTTTTAAAGAGAAAGTTATACCATTATGGTTATGGTCAAAATTATATGCAAGATCTGTTTCTTGCATTACCGTTGTCTTTTAACAATCACAATGCCAAAATATTTTGGCGTAAAATAGGTACGTGACCAATGACCATTCATGCCATAATAATGACATTTATTTTCTTATATCATCTCAAACCTCCTTTTAGAGGTGAGTGCGGTATATTCACTACCACTAGCACGTTCATATTCTTTGAAGAATGAATATGTATTCATAAATCAGATGTTGTCAACATTCACATCATGAATGGACCATAATCATCTATATGTGATTTCCAAAAATCTCATGTCAAATACGTATAGCAAAAAT